AAACTTCAAATAAAACAAAAACTTTTGACAAGAAAAAAAAACTATTAAAGTATAATATTACAAAATATTAAAATAACAATATGGTGAGTATTTAATTTAAAACAATTATCTGTTTTAAAAAGCAAAACTTTATTAGTTACTATTATAACATAAAGAAAGTATATAAAAATGTTTAAATATTATTATTTACTTTTTCAATTAAATGGTAAAAATATCTATTGAATAATTTCAATTACAAGAATGGTTTTTTTTTGAAATATCTGTTTCTATTTTAAGCAATAAACATTATATATTTAATCTTATTATATGAACAGTGAATCCTCTCTAAATGCACACCCCTCAGGACCATAAGAAAATTTTTGAAAAATGTGCATTTATAGAGGTATACATTTATGGAGATAATTTTATTAAGAGTTTTATATACTTGGATCAAACTTGATCATGTATTTAGAGAGAGAAAATATAGTAAGTATATTTATAAAGGGTGCATTTAGTGAGATCTCTCTGTAATATTTTTTTGAATCTTCAATTCAAGAGTATTATTTGTTTTAAAAAGTAGATAAAATAATATATTAAAAAAATTTTTATAAGTAATTAATTATAATATTATATTTTTTTTTTTATATAACCATTAATATATTTATTAAATAAAAAAATTTTAATGACAATAGTCTCTTTTTAAATTTGATTAAAAAAACTTTGAATAATGAGCTAGAAAATATATTAAATCAAAAGCAATTACAAAATAGATTGCATTAAAACAATTTAATATTATTTTTATAAAATGAGTAAGATGTATTATTTAATATTACAAAAGATATTTCAGATATAATATATATAAATTTATTATATTGCTTATTTAATAAAAAAAATTGCTTTTAGTTAAATTATTATACAATCAATATCAATAATATCTGATACATATTAATTTATATTTAGATCAATAATAATTAGCAGAGAGGATTATAATTGATATGTATTTAGGTTATTAATTAATACATATTACCTTATTTATTTTGCTAATAATAAAAAAAAAAATTTTTTTTTGTTTATTAAATATTTGAATTCTTATTAATTCATGTGATACAAATTTAATCTGATCGAGAACGAAATTTTTCCAGAGCGATGACTGACAGAAAGCGAATACAGGGACCGGAAGTTAGTGTTGCACCAATAATAATAAAATCTGCGACTAAAAAAAAATGCCTACTAGATGGAAATTCGCGCCGACACGATGGAAGAAGTATTGAAGACATTCGCCCTATTTGTATGTAGAGTGATCAAGATTTTGAATTAGGCATAAACTGATTTCTTAGGGCATTTGTTTTTAGTCCTGAAAACTGGTCTTATAAGTCAAGCTAACGGTTCGGCGTTCATTGAACTATGTCAGACAAAAATTGCCTGTGGCGTGTAGGTTCGAGCCAAAATGACTTTCAATTATGTTAAAGTGCATCTTTAATGATCATTTTTATAGATATGGCCCGCGCCAAACAAAAATTCCATCTTTCAACGGGAAAGGAAATTTGAATTGCGAGATAAAGTTTGCACCTTTTTCTTGCCCAAAACGCAGACAACCATATCGTGTAAATTTTCAATCTTTTTTCTTTTTTTTTACCAAATGTATTATGTTTATTTACTAATTCTATGTATACAGGATGCGCAGGAAAAAGAGCTTTCACAATTAATATACGAAGCTTTAGCACCTTCAATACGACTTGATCTATTGCCTAAATCAACAATTGACATCTACATAACAATTTTGGAAAATGATGGAACTGCGTCATGTTTAGCCGCTGCTGTTACATGTGCATCGGTGGCAGTAGCAGATGCCGGGATCGAAATGTTAGATTTAGTCCCAGCCTGTTCGGTGGTAATAAAAATATTACTTTAGTTTTTAATTTTAACGGTCTCAGAAAATCTCATTTGTTCGCTTTAACCTCAGTCATATATTGACGGAAGGATTTATATGGATAGCGATTTAATAGAAGAGCAACATGAATCTGGTTCATTAGTCTTATCATATATGCCTTCATTAAAAGAGATAACGCATATATTGCAGTCTGGAGAAGTGGACTTGGCCTTGGCTACTCAGGTAAACTTTGTTCATACATATATTGAAATTTATTTATTTTATTTAGTGAAATATTGGCATTACAGGCTATCGAACAATGCACAGATGCATGTTCCAAAATATATTCAGTTATGGTAGATAGCTTACTAAAACCTACTCAGAATATACAATAATGCAAAATAAGTTTAAAAATATTATACTTCATATAGTGCATAATAAAATAGAAATTACGTATATAAAAATTTCAAGTTGCATTTAAGTTTTATTTTATTATTAATTATTATAATTTGAATTTTAAAAGCAAATATTTATTAAATAATTGTAAAACTAAATAAATAGTATTTATTAGCAATAATAAATAAATATTAATGGTTACAGGTTTTATTTACAGTGAACCCTCTCTAAATGCACACCCTCAGGACCATAGGAAAATTTTTGAAAAATGTGCATTTATAGAGGGTGTGCATTTATGGAGGTAATTTTATTAAG